GAGACAGAGAGATAGAAAGCGAGACATCACCCCCCAGGGGGGATGGCCACGCCGCAATCCCTTCTCCTGCATTCTCCTCTCGGGATCTTGGACACACACACACACACACACACACACACACACATGCCCAGCGTGAGTTTAAGCCACCAGGTCCGAGACTTGAACTGCGGTCAGCTACATGGGAGACCAGTGACGTAACCATTATGCCAACTGCTGGTCCCAAAAGGAGGGAATTATTGATACACATCACAACATCAGCAAAATTGGGTGTGTGTGTGTTTTCTTTAAGAGAGATTTTTGCTATAGGGTGTCTGTGCTGGCCTGAGAGACAGAGAGAGAGAGAGAGAGAGAGACAGAAAGAGAGAAGTCACTTCCCAGGGGGAGGGGCCACCGTGGCGTCCCTTCTCCTCCCTAGGATCTTGGGCAGGCATGCACACGTGCCTAGCGTGAATTTCAAGCCACCGGGTCTGGGACTCGAACTGTAGTTGGACGTGTGGGAGTCCAACAAAGTAACCAACACACCATCTGCAGGTCCCCCAATCTCAAAAGCATTACATAGAATCAAAGAAGCTGGAGAGAAAGGAGTCCATGCCATACGATCTAATTTTTATCAAATAACAGGATAAACAAAACTAATCTATGGTGATAAATATTCAGTTAGTCACCCCAGCTTGCTGCCCCAGCTGGGAGGGGTCACTCGGTTAATGCTGGCGCTGCCCTTGTCACCAGATTACCAGCACGACCTGTTGGTATTGTTTGTGGTTAGAGGGTCAAGGTAATGGGGGGGGCCAAGAAAGGGGTACAAGGAAACTTCCTTGGGTGACTAGAACATTCATGTGTCTTGATCTGATCTTGGTCAAATGGGATAGACGTTGTCAAAACCCATCAAAGTAAACACTCTCTGTTCTTTTATTTATTTATTTATTTATTGAGAGGTTTTTGCTATAGGGCTCATGAGCTCGCCAGAAAGGCAGAGACAGAAAGCGAATAATCACCCCCCAGGGGGTATGGCCATGCCACAATCCCTTCTCCTCCCTTCTCCTCTCGGGATCTTGGGCACGCACGCACATGCGCCTGGCGTGAGTTTAAACCACCGGGTCCGGGTCTCGATCCGTGGTCGACTCCATGGGAGTCCAGCGACATAGCCATCACACCAACTGCTGGTCCCTCTCTGTTCATTTTTACCACATATAATTAAAACTCAGAAACTGCATATAAATACATAACTGAATTGGATACTTCTTTTCAAAAAGTCATTTGCTTCTGTCTTGTTGCTGTTCTTTGGTTTTTGTAAGTCTGTGCTTTTCTCTTCAGTATTCCAGTACAGCTCCCAGGAGAGAACATGTCAAAACCAGCACCAGCCCCCAGCCCGGCTTCCTGGAGCGACTGAGCGAGACCTCGGGCGGGATGTTCGTGGGCCTCATGACCTTCCTGCTGTCCTTCTACTTAATCTTCACCAACGAGGTGAAATGTCTGGGCCCCCTGTGCAGGGCAGGGAGCAAACGCTGTGAATCCAGAGGCTGGGATCGGCGGTGAGGGGCCTGGATTTTAGACAAGAGTAAGAGCGGTGCAGAGTCAGTTATCCCGTCAGGACCCACCTCCCGCCGGATGTGAGCAGAGAGGGGGGCAGGTCATACCTGAGAGTGCAGGTGGTGGGGAGGTGGGACCTGTGTCAGGCATGCATGGATCTGGGGGTTGGCCGGATCACTAGAAACCGTCACGTCCTCACCTGCTGCCTGTTCTTCTCTGTTGTGGTGTCTTTCTGGGCAGGCTCTTCCTCTGTGGTGGCAAAGGTGGCCGTGGCCACCAAGAGCTCATACCCACCAGTTGAGCAATCCTTGAGCAAAGAGGAACGGTCCGTTTCTAGACCGTGTAACACAAGTTGCAAGGAGGGCTCTCTCCCTTGGCTTGGGCGTCAGCCCTCTGGTCCAATCCCTGCGGCCTGGGACACATGTTCTGATTGGCGAGGCCTGGGTCACATGGTTTGGGAAGTCATGCAGGCCAGCCTGTGCCAACCTCATGGCCAAGAGTAGGGGAGAGAAGAATCTAGAGAAAAGTGGGGGACAGGGCACAGGGCGGGCAGAAACACCAGCTAGTCCCAGCATGGGGACGTTGCTGAAGGTGGTGAGGGTGTTGGGAAGAGGTCAGACTGGGAACATAGGAATCCTGGGTTCTAATCCCGACTCTGCAACTTGCTAGACCTGCTTCCCAGCAGCAAAAGGGGCAGGTGGGTCTCCGCGTCCCCTACGTTCTGTCCTGCCCCAATATCAGAAGCATAGCCTTGTCGAGTCACCTCTGAGCTGTTGAAATCCTCGCTCCTCTGCATTCACAGGGCCGTGCGTTGAAGACAGCAACCACGCTGGCCGAGGGGCTCTCGCTTGTTGTGTCCCCCGACAGCATCCACACTGTCGCTCCAGAGAACGAGGGGAGGCTGGTCCACCTCATCGGGGCCCTGCGGACGTCCAAGGTAGGCTTGGCAGGTTGCCCACCACCTGGCTCAGTGGCACTGTGCACGTGGCTGGCTATGGTCTGTCTGAGGATTTGAACACGTGGGCCTGGGAGATGAGCACACCGTGTGATTCCCGACTCCACTGCTCAGCAGCTGTGTGGCCCCATCGTTCCAGAGTCTCTGTGTCCTCGTCTGCAAGCTGGGGACAGTAATGGTAACCAGCTGATGGCAGGTTGTGACAGTCGGGTGAGCTCCACAGGCCCACTCTCCTGCAACCGTGACGCCCATACACGTCTAGTGCCAAGCTGCAAAGCTGCACTGGTCGTCAGCGCCCCACCAGTATGTGGGCACCCCCAGTGGTCGTCAGTGCCCCTCCAGTATGTGGGCACCCCCAGTGGTCGTCGGCGTGATGCCCTCGGGCCGTGCAGGTCATGGGTGCAGGCACTCAGCCTTAGGGACTTAGAGCACCAGCTGCACTCGACTCTCCCACGTGGAGCAGCCGCAGAATCCCCACGCTTGTCCCTGCTTCTCGTATTTCCTTCTTTTCCCGTCCGACTTCCTGCGAGCGAGGGATTCTGGGCCCGTGTGAGTCTTAACCTGTGTGCTTGTGGTCTGATTGTTTTCAAAGCTCTTGTCTGATCCAAACTACGGGGTCCACCTCCCGGCTGTGAAACTGCGGAGGCACGTGGAGATGTACCAGTGGGTAGAGACCGAGGAGTCCAGGTGAGGCCTCGGGGAAGGGAAAAGTCACTTGGGCGTCAGGGGCGTGGGGTGCCAGGTTAAACACAAGTGGCTGTCATCGAAATTCAAAGTATCTGATAGATGGCAGCTCATCCTCAATGAGTAGCCAGTGGTGGTGTTTTTGTTTTTGTTTTTTTATGAGAGATTTTTGCTATAGAACACATGCGCTCACCAGAGACAGAGAGACAGAAAGTGAGAAATCGCCCCCTGGGGGGAGGGCCACGCTGCTATCCCTTTTCCATTCTCCTCTTGAGATTTTGGGTATGCATGCACATGCGCCCGGCTTGAGTTTTAAGCCGCTGGGTCCAGGACTCGAACCGCATGGGAGTCCAGCAAGTAACCATTACACCATCTGCTAGTCCCACCGGTGATCTTTTATTAAGAGGTGGCAAAAAAGCCCATGTAGAGTGGCTCAGAGAACAGGATGGCTGCATTAGCTTCCTCACCTGGAGGGCCTGGGATGCCCATGCCTGAGGCACGCCTGGGCCAGGCCTCGAATAGCATCACCACCCACCCCTTCCCTGTGTTCAGCCTTCCCCCTCCAGCCTGTCTTCTCTCCCTGGTCTGCATCCCATTGGTTCTAACAGAAGTCACAGGTGGGCTCTCACCGGCCAGGCCAGGGACACATGAACCACAGGGACTCGGCAGGGGGTGGCAGTTGTGGGGAGCTAGGAGAGGGCACCTGCAGGGGCCTCCACAGGGCAGGGCAGGGCCAGGTGGAGACAGGTTTCAGCTCAGGAAGGGGGAGCCCTTTTCTCCAGGCAGGACCCTCAAGGGCTGGCGCTGGCTCCCTGGCAGAGGGAGCGGCTCCTCCTAGGGAGTTTGACCGTGCAGCCCCAGGGACGCTGCCAGCTTAGGGGTTGCCTCAGGTGGCCTGTGCTCTCCCTGCAGGGAGTACACCGAAGACGGGCAAGTGAAGAAGGAGACGAGATACTCCTACAGTGAGTACGGGTCCCGCACGTGGTCTCTGCCCCGAGTGGAGGCCCCCGGAGTGAGCAGAATGGCAGGGCTGTGGGTGGAGCCTCGAGTGCCACAAGCTCAGAGCAGAGGACCGGGGGTGAGTGGGCCTCGGCCACGTGGCTGCTCTGACCGTGGCCTCTGAGCTGTGCCCTCTCCCCACGCAGACACCGAATGGAGGTCGGAAGTCATCAATAGCAAAAACTTCGACCGAGAGATTGGCCACAAAAACCCCAGGTGAGCCGGGCCCGGGCCGAAGTGCAGGTCTCCGGCCTCAGTCGCTCTCTCCGAGTACAGGGGCTGGGTTCATTCTGCCTCGTGGGTTGATGAAAGCACAGGACGTGGTTTTGAGGCCAGGCTGTGTGCTGGGGACCGGGAACCCCAAGGCAAGATCCAGTCCCCCTGACCCCAACCAAGCTTCCCCAAACAAGTCACCCGAGGAGGCCTGGACTCAGACCCAGGGGTGCACGCCGTGGCACCGGCCAGCACCGCGCTTGCCCGTCAGCCGTGGTGGGCTCAGGAGGCAGCAGCCTGAGGAGAGGCCAGGTGATCCAGGCTTGGCCCGGCCACCTCCCTGCTGCTCGATCTGGGCCCCCTAGGACTTAGCCCCAGGAGGCTAGCGGGGCGTGGGTGGGGAAGTGAGCGTGACCCTGGGGGTGGCCAGAGCGTGGGAAGGTGTGGCGGTCCTCGGGGCTGTGCCAGGAAGGTGGTCACCAGGTTGGATGCCGCCCAGGCTAGGAGGGGCTGGGGCGCGTGGGAAGTGCAGGCAGGTCCGTCTGGTGGCGGGTGTGTGGGGTGGGACAGGCTGGCCGCGGTG